GCATCCGAATCGCCTCGCCGGTGGTGCCGGCTCCGGAGACATCACCTTGCTCTGAAGTTGCCCACCTGGAGGAGGTAAATCGGAGCGGGGCTTTCGTCCAGAGGGGTCGGCGACGGCGGGGAAGAGGAGGAAGCGATCGCCTCCCCCATCCCCACACACCCTTGTCCTCCGGGAGGAAGCTTGTGTAGCAGAAGAACACGGCAGAAAAGGAGAGACTTCTACTTCTATTTTTTCCTTCCTTTTTTTTTTTTTTTTTTTTTTACATTTTTCCTTCCTTGAGGGACGTTCCGTGCTTCTCGTCCTCCCCTTTACCTTCTGGCTGGGGGCTTTGGTACTGTGGCCAGGTCTGCTTCCTACTCCCACCCCTGGTTTTAATGGCTGGATTGTGGCAGCAGCTCTCTGCTGCAGGTTGTTGAGGATCTGATGGGGACTCGCATCTCAGGAGCCGGAGGTGAATAAAGGTAACTAACCACCCAGCGGATGGATGCTCACCAGCCCTTGCCTGGCCCTCAGTTGCACCCTTGCTCGGTTGCGTTGGGCTGAAGGGTGCCGGCCGCCCTGAGCGCTCGCTTGGATTGAATTATTCCATAATAACGGTAGTTTGCCTTCAGGGGGGCTGGATCCTTCAGGTAACGGGAGAGCATCTCTCTGGGTCTGCATGGTGCGGGGGGGGACGATAGTGGAGAGGAGGGGTGCGCATCTTGTTGGGAAATGCCTTGTAGGCTCTAGCCTGGTTGTCCGTGGACGACTAGGGTGGCAAAGGCAGTGAGGAGATGGAGGGGACCCGGTAGGGTTTGTTCCTACTCTCTCTTCTGTTTTTCTGTGAAAGGCACCGCGTTGGACCGGTGGGTTTGCTGGTGTTACACTGAGAAATTCCTGAGTTTCATTATGTCCCTCCACCCCGTTCTCATGCCCACCCTTTCGCGGATCTACGTTGCTGTTTAATTGCTGAAGGGTGCCTCGAGAAGCAGTCGCTTTCCTGGATAACAGGGGGCATGGGTGCGGGGATGTTGCCGAACTGGGGGTGTGCGCTAGGGGGATCGCCTGTTCGTTGGTATGAATTGGAGGGGTCGAGGTCTGCATCCAGCCGGGGGCCCCAGGTTACAGGTAGGCGCGGGCTTCGCCTTCCCGTGCAGCCGGGGAGCGGAACGGACGGCGTAGGTAGGGATGTGCAGGGCTTCCCACCTCCTGCCTGCGAGGTTGCGTTTGCCGGCTCTAACAGTATAGGATTGGCGTTCGCCAGAGGGATTTTTGAGCAAGGGCCGATATGTATGGCTGGAGGAAGAAAACCGCGTTTTTAATGCCTTTTTTTTTTTTTAAACGCTTTGTTTATTTGCTCGCTTCATTATTTATTTGTGTTCTCCTTGCAATTATCTTTTGACTGCATAAGTTGGAAAATACGGTTATAAGGCTGATGATTGCTCCCTGCCATCAACCAGAAAGTAACCCGTTCCTGTTTCCCAGTCTGCGGAGCTTACATCGAGCTGGTGCCCATTATTGCTAATGAAGATGTAGGTATAGTGCAGTGCCCCAGAGATGTTCCCTGGGTATTTGGGGATTGCCTTCAAGGATGAGTTTCATCAGCAGCCTTGTGTCCAGAGTTGTTCCCCCCAGCAGCGTTGACCCCCCCAGTACATTTAGTTGGGTTTTTTACCCCCACCCTTTCCCTGTGGATAGGCAGATGTTTAGTTTTGCTTGAGGGATGGCGAGGTAAGAAAGGAGCTTCTCTTTCTCTTTCTTCCTTTCCTGATAGGCATGAGATTCTTCTCTGCGGTAGTTAAAACAACTCGTATTATGGCCAAAAGCAATGTATTGTCTGCTTGTCAACTGTAGCGATCATTATTGCTTTAGCCAAAACAACCCGTGTCTATTGTATTTACTTTCCTGTTTAGATCACTCATTAGGAGTTATTGCTATTTCCACTCTCACAGTTCTGGTTCCAGGCAGCCAGCTGCTTAGACGGAGGCTGAGATGCAAGAAAAAGGGTGAAAATGCCATCTGTTTCTTGATACAAGGCAGATAGGTAGTCTGCTGGTTGCAATTGCTTTCTGAATTACAGCCTTGATTATTCCAGAGTGTAGGATCAAAATTTTCAAAGGTGACCAAAAAAAATGCCTTCCCTGGAGTTAAAAAGAAATAAATTCCATTTTCATTGTGGAATACTGTCTCTTAAGAGCACAGCCAATGCTGCCTGCTTGGTATTGAGTAGTAGCATGTGCTTTGTAGAGCTCATTTATCATCATTTCCAAGGGTTCTCAATATGAACAGGCTTCTACTGTGTATTCATTAGGAAAAATTCTTTCATGGAGTTTTTTTATGGGGGTAAACCAGGTGTTGTAGGTTAAAATGGGCTGCTGTCAAAAAGTCAGCAGTTGTCACTTGAGAATACCAGATCAGGAAGGGAGAAAATCTGTGCACCCATACTGATGGTGGGAGATAAAGTTCAGGTTAGGGCTCCACCATAAAGCTGTGGTTTTTTCCCTAAAAAAGCTGTATTTTTTACTTAAAGGTAAAACAACTGCTCTGAGGGAACAGGAATCAGTCACCCTTGTTATGGTTGAGGCTGCTTCTGTTCCTGCTCCATAAGATTACTTTTTCCTTATTTAGGCTTGGTTTACTATAAAGTGACTGTTGTCTTGTTACCTGCTAGCAAAAAATAAAGTCGATACAAATCTCTGGTATGATAATTTCCAGAAGGACTGAAGTTTTTATAAAGCTAGTCTTGACCTGTGAGTTCCGTATAATTTCTGTTATTAAATAAATATGTATTTTCCCTTTTCTTCCTGGGGTGGTTAGGAGAGGGTATGTTTAATTTAACATTTATTCCAGAGCAAGATAAATGGCAGTGTAGATTGATGACAGTGAAAATGCCGAGTCCTGCTTTATGGGGCAATGAGATTTTAATGGTATTTATTAAGTTTAAGACTACAGACCTCACTCAGATGTTTTTTGTGACAACAGTGGGACCTAGGGGTTTGGTTTCTCGGTGCCCTCTGGAGATGAAGTAGTTTATGTCTCAGTCTAGGAAATTTAAATTCGTGCCTGAGCACCTGCCGGTCCATCCCCTCCTTTGTTTGCTCGGCCGTGCATCCCACAGGTTGGGATGATGCCATGGGGACCACGTCTCTCCCGGTCGGGGTTGATGTGGCAGAGGTGCTCGGCTTGCCTGTCCAAGCATTAATTGCTTTTGCTCCTGAAAGAGAAAATGAATTGCCCTGCCTGCTGTTGCGAAAAATGAAGCTGGTGCTCTTTGCTGGGTGGGAGGGAAATGCAAGCAGGTTTGTAGGTGAAGATGCAGGCACACGGATCCAGCCGGCTGCCTGATGAGCTGGGTGTCTGCCTGTTCCCCGGCGTTGCAGGGCTGTTACAAAAATAAATAAATAAATAAATAAATAAATATTTAGAGGCAGGTAAACCAGGACTGAAGAGGAATATGCATGACCTTTACCTTTAGACAACACTCAGTTGGAGGGCCTGATGGTGCTGTCAGGGTTTTCACATTCAGAGCATGAGTGTATGCATCATCAATACGAATAAATGAGATGCACACAGGAGAGTGAAGTCTTTGTAAATGGAGAAGTCCTAGGAACAGATGATTTATTATTACAGATTTTAATACTAATAGTGTTGGGACTGGTGTAGATTGACTAGGAAGCTATTTAGTGCGTGACACAGTATAAAGGATGGGTTAATGATTGATGAAAGTGATGGCATTCAGGGAGCAGGAATGGATCATGGAAAAGCTAAAACACGCAGGACGGGCACGAGGATTTCTATGCTTTAAATAAGTTCACTATTTTTTTTTTTTCTGTTGTAATTATGTTATTTGGTGGTTGCGGAAACAATCCAATGCTGTGATTGGAGTGATTTTGATAAAATTTCTTACTCCTTAGAGCATTCTTGCACGTCACAAGAGGTTTGGAAGAACACCTCAAAAATTTAATTTTTTTTGGAGCAGTGATCATCTGAAAGCTAGACATCACAATAATGATGTACTACTTGGGACAGTACTGAGACATCAGGACAACCCTGCAAAATAAAAATGCTTTTTCCTACCTCTTTTGATGATGGACTGCTTATTGGGGTGGGATGCACTTGGTGAGCATTGATGTTTTGGAGAGATGTTTATTGTAGTTCATTTGGACTCCCAGTTCTTCCCTGCTGGTCCTTTTCTCATCCGATAGATGCCTTCCTGCTGGGATGTGAATATGAAAAGTTCACCACGTTGCCAAATTTAGAGTGTACATACACACTTGAGTCCCTGCTATGTCTGAAGCCAGTGCTTTCAGTTGTCTGTAGGATGGAGAGCTAGAAATTGTGTCATTTGCACCAGTTCACTGTGCTCTGGTGTATTTGTAGGAACATACCTGTCCCAGCAAGGCAGTCTGACATGCTGGCCTCTGACTACATCATCTCCTGGGGTCATGTCTGCCTTGCCAAATGTTTGTCACGATCCTCACCAGCACTGAATATCAGGCTCTTTAATCCCTACTTGAGACGCCGGTGAATATGTCCTTGTTTCTGTAGGTGCTGAGATGCTCTAGCACTCCCTGATTTCATTCTGGTGCCTACTGGCATGGAAGCTCCCAGAGCAGGCTGATGAAATAGAAGGAGAACTTTGCTTTTAAGCATCTACTTTTAATTCCTGGCTACTTTAATGGCAAGGAAGCCACCTCCTACTCGAATCTGTGATGTGATTCTATCTAAGACGTTATCTCATTGCCTGTTTTTGGCCTCCAGGTTTGCAGTGTAATGCTTGTATTATGTTCCTCACTAGATAATCTCTACAGTGCAGTCTGAAATGCATGTGTCTCCTGGCTGTAAGCTAAGTGTTCATTTTTGAGACAACTTCTCTAAGGACACCTTGACACTACAGCTTTTTCTTCAGCACTCTTTTCTGAGAGCCTTCTGGTTTTACCTATAAGGCAGATATTTTTATCAGTCATTGCACCAAGCATCTGTAGCTATAGCAAGGTAGCTACTCTTTTCAGGCAATGAAAACTTTGTTTTAATTGTGTTATGGACCACTGTTTTACTTACTAAGCAGTGCTCAGTGTGGGATTTTTTTCAGCCTGCCTGAAACCTCTGTGTTTTTCTCTGGCTGAGACATGAGCACTACACTGTTTTTTAAATGGCCTTGGTCTTTCTGTCTTTTTTTTTCTTTTTTTTTTTCCTCTCTTTTTCAACTTTTCATCTCTACTTCTTCAGGCCCACTCTCATTCAAGGGAGGTACTGCTGCATCTGTGATGGAGTTCCCAGTGTAGTCAGTGGAGCAGTACTTTTGGCTTCCCTGTGAGGGGAAGATGCTCAAGAATCTCAGATATGTTATCTTCTCAAAAGAAGCTCCAGAAACTCAGATGTGGTATCTTTTCAAAAACATTCCCTGGCTTCATCATCAAGTTTCTACTTATTGTGTTGTAATGTCTTTGCCAGAGGTGGCATTTCAGGTTGAACAAAGCAG